GTGAAGAATAGTCATAATAGGATTTTGCAAGAATTTGTGACAAGTTAAGATGTGAGAAAGGGATTGGTTGATAAGATAAGTGAGCAAAGGAGAATTTTTCTTAAATATTTTCTCCTGTTATCCGCCTTTAGCTCGAAAAAAAGTTGGCTGCCCTAGCTATTAGGTGATAAAGTAGTGTTATATCATAACAATATAATATAATATAATATAGTTGTTATATGTTATCCGCCTTTAGCTAAAAAAAAAATTGGCTGCCTTAGCTATTAGGTGATAAAGTAGTGTTATATCAAAACAATATAATATAATATAGTTGTTATATGTTATCCGCCTTTAGCCCAAAAAAAAAAAAAAAAAATTTGGCTACCCTAGCTATTAGGTTGTAGTGTTATACCATAACAATATAATATAATATAATTGTTATAGATTATCTTTTTAGTTAGGACAAAAATAATATTTAATCTAGTTAACAAGATTTTCACATACAAAAAATAACACATTTTTATTAAAATTAATTGACAAAGATAAATAGTACATAAGAGTAGGTCTGTCAATTGTGTCGAGTAGTGTTCAAAAAAAAAATGTGTCCAGTAAGACTGGTTCGTATCGGGTTTTAATGAGTTTGTGTCCCAAAATAATTTAAGCGTAACCGATTTATTTATTAATTCGTGTTTAACGAAACGTGACATATTGAGTTTGTAACTTATATGAATCGTGTATAATCGGAATATATACGAGTCGTATTATGTATTTTTTTTATTGGTTTCACTTATATACGATTTGGTTTGTAATCATATAATGTCCACAAGTTTCCGAAACGGGTGTCTTAAGAAAGACTTAAGTCATTTAATTTCGTATTACATTCATGTCGTATATAACAGATCATGTCATTTTTTGGCACCTTACATACAAAATGACAAATTTGGATCAATTTATGATCATTTAGGACAAATGCGCAATCAATTAACCAACCGATAAGCATATTCAATTTAGACTAACCAATAAGAATACAAATCCAATTTGAAAACTATGATTCTGTTACTCGGTGTATTTCATTTTCAAAGTCTATATATGTACTCTTTAAAAATTGAAATTTAGTTCGATCAAAATTATTTAATTAATAGCATATTCATATTCAGATTCAGTTTAATCAATTATAATGGGTTCAAATTACTAGGTTTCGATACGATATATCATAATTTAAATCTATCATATGCATTATAAATGATTCGAATTTGAATTCGAATATTCTAAAATAAATTTCAATCTATATTTAATTAATTAAATTTGAATTTGTATACAAGTTTGTATTCATGTCAAATATGGATCTCAATTCGATTAATTTATAAGCATAATTTATTTGCATCCTTATTTTAATTACATGGAAGGTTTGATTTTTCAACAGTTTGATTATACCAGCAATCTTTTCATTATACTAGCAATCTTTTCAGTGAACCGAACCGCTGAAGGACCTGGTTCACCAGTCAAACCAGGCAGTCTGGTCCAACACATTTTAGCACCAAAAAATTTCTGCCTCAAAATTAATGATAAAATTATTAGTGACAAGTTCAAATTCATCACTAATAGCATCTTGGTTCAACCAAATAGTGACTCATGGCTAAGTCATTACTAAATAGTTGGGCATAGATTATTTATTTATCAACAACATTAAAGTAATTGTCACTTAAATTCTTCCCTCCAACATATTTTTTGCGCGAAAAAATTCCCGCCCCCAAATTATTGATCAGATTGTTAGCAACAATTAAATTCTGTCACTAATACCACCTTAGTTCATAAAAATAGTGACAAGTAGACAAGTTGTGACTAAAGAGTTATCATTTGATTAATTATTTAGTGACTACATTAAATTAATTGCCACTAAAGTACTTCCCTCCATTTTTTTTTGGCGCCAAATTTCTCCCGCCTCAAATTTAGTGACAAAGCTAATGTTGGCGGTAGTAACACTCTATTTTATGAAATAAGTGATAATTTTTTTAACTTGCCACTAAATATTTTGGGTTAGTGGCCATTATTTATTTTCGTCACTAAACATTAGGTTTTAGTGACGATATAAGTTTTGTCACTAATACTTTCGCCACTAACAAGCTTATTTCTTGTAGTGGAATTGTTTGGAGTAAGGTTAAAAATCAAGTTAAATTTGTTGAACTCATTTTTTTTAAATAAGTTTAAAAAATTATTCAACTTATACAACAACAAATTTATTTTTCTGCGACGAAAAAATTTGTCGCCAAAAGTATGAAATTTGTCGCTGAAAACTTTTGGTGACGATAAAATATCGTCGCTCATTTGTCGCTGCAGATTTGTCACTGAAAATTTTTTACGACAAAATGTTGCGACGAGTAGCTTAACTAGTTTACATATGAACGAGCTGAGTTTACGAGCTCGAGCTGAGTTTTTTCAGACTTGTTCTTTTAAACGAATTTAAAAATTTGTTCAAGACACGAATCGAACTCGTGTTAAGCCCAAGTAACTCTAATTTGAAGTATGTGTTAGTTAATTAAAAGCATAAATTGATAAGAGATTGTCATTTAACTTTTGATAATGCTAGACTATCCCAAAAAAAAAAGATGAAAACAAGGACCACAAGATGTGACAGGTTAGTGTTTTTGTTCTCACATTTACTCAACTGAGATTCAAATTTTATTTATTATATTAGTGTCATACATCCGTCACAATAGGCATATATCGATTGAAAAATCCTATTGTTAAACTATTATGAACTATAAATTTCCTCAAACTTCATAAATTCACCATTTTTTGAGAAATTCAAAAGATCATGCCTAAGCTAAAATAACATTTAACTATTTATAATAATATTGGAATCCCAATTTTTCTACGACGAGGTGGTTGTACCTCTTGGGACATTTGATTAACACAATAATTTTGTGTCAAGTAAAAATTCTAGGAGACTAACTATAAGAGACAGAGATTTGAACTCACGACTACTTCGTTTCATGAGCTTAGTTCCAACAAAATTGTCCATATCACAAAGATTTTTGAACCCAAAATAATTGCCTTTCTTTTATTGTAATTGTGCTTTAGTTAAAGAGAATAACTCAATGTTGGGATTTCTCACGATTTAAATCCACTAACAAACACACACAATCGAAGAACAAATCAAGAATATAAAGCAATAAGAAACAAGAAAGAACAAGACACAGATTTTACGTGGTTCGGCAATTTGCCTACGTCCACGAAGCTGCAGGGATTTCACTATCGGGTCATCATCCGGATCATATATACAAACTAGACTCCATAAAAAAAAACCAACACTCAACGCAACAAAATGCAAGCTTAATCGTCACACTCCAAACACTCATAATCATTTGTGAACCATATGCATTTGGTAGTGGATTGTGTCGTGTCGAGTGTCTAAGTAGGCAAATTTTACCGTGTCAAAAATAATTTAACCCATTGTAATGCATTTATTAAGCGAGTGCAATAGATCAATTCGACTATATATTAAAATCATTAAAATTAAACCCACACCTGATAACTTTGCATTAATTTCGAGATGAATCAATAAGTAGTGCTAACAATTGTTAGCTATGGCTGTGACACTATTGAGGACTTCTTGCCCAATTATCCTCGCTAAATCCCACTTATATATTTAGTTAGGGATAATTTGAAACTTACCCAGAACATATTTAATGGTTCAATTTTCACCATTTTTTTGATAAAAAAAATATGAAAAGGGGTTCTTAACTCTCCAATCTAAATTCTTATTATCTTTTCTAACATAAATGCAAATTATATTTCTTGTTACATTACATATTTGGAAACTCTTTTAGTCATCAAACAATGCAGTTGTTTGTTTAACATAAATGCAAATTATATTACTTGTTACATATTTGGAAATTCTTTTAGTCATCAACAATAGACTGGTAATCGAATCAAGTTATTCGGAGTTAGTTCAAGTTCGACTCGCTTTGGGCTAGGTTTCACGAGCTTGACATGTTCGGCTAGAGTTCGCAAAGTTCAGCTCAATTACTAGTCCTAATCATTAAATAATGTATTTGTTTTTGGATGAATTATACTTTATACCTTGAAAGATTTGAGAATGTTTATTTTATACTTTCAAATATTAAATTTTTTACATTGTACCTTGAAATGTTATAATGTGACAATTCTATTAATTTTTGTTATTCATTCGGTCAACATACATGAGGTAATTTTTGACGGAATAAACAGTAGATGCTAACATAAAAACTATATTACAATACTTTCAATACATTGAAGATAAAATATAAAAAAAATTAATATTTAAGAGTACAAAATAAAAAATCTTAAAATCTTTTGGAGTGGCAAGTGCGATTTTCTCCTTGTTTGCGTTATACTCTTTTGGACCGTATAATTCAAAGCTTTGATCCATCGACGATTAAACCTATACCAAGCCCACAACGGCCCAATGCACCGACCTGCTATCCTGCACGTCATGCGCACGTAGAACCCTAGTGAACGAAGAATATGCCAAAAAGAGCAGCTATTCAATCGACACGTGTCGGTAGTGTCCATCTTTGATTTTGACCCGGCGGAGCCACCGGAGCGAGAAATTTTTCAACAATCAAAATTTCATTTCATTTTCATTTCATTTCCATTTGTAGAGTTTCATTTAGCATTCCTGTCCACCATTTCCACTCTCTCTCTCTCTCTCTCTCTCTTATTATTTTCTACGCCATTACATACAAACATTTATCGCCATACACTATATATACATTATCAAGAACTCATATATAATTTTTCTTCGATTTTTGAGGGAGGGGGAAAGAGATTCTTCTGAATGGAGACAAATCTCAGAATCAGATAATGATTGGAAGCTCGAAACCCTGATTTTGGGTGCTAAATTGATCCGATTGAGTGAATCATTTGGTACGTCCGTCAATTGATTAAATTGGTTGATTTTTTCGTGGATCGATTTAGATTTCCGATCGGTTGGTGTTTGAAATTTCTAGATCGGAGAGAGAGAGAGAAGAGTGGGGAAAATGCCGTCGCACGCGGATCTGGATCGGCAGATAGAGCAGTTGATGGAGTGCAAGCCTTTAACGGAGGCGGAGGTGAAGGTGCTGTGTGATCAAGCGAGGACGATACTTGTGGAGGAATGGAATGTGCAGCCGGTGAAGTGTCCGGTCACGGTGTGTGGTGATATTCACGGACAGTTTTACGATTTGATCGAGCTGTTTCGGATAGGCGGAAATTCTCCGGATACGAATTACCTCTTCATGGGCGATTATGTTGGTCAGTTTTCGATATTTAAACTGTAATTTCTGATGAGTTTGTTGATAATTATGGATTTTCTATCTGTTACAAAATATTGAAAGGAGAAATGTTTGTTTATCTCGTGGAGATAATGTTCGGATATTGAAATGGCTTATGTTTATTTATTTATTTTTTTCATTTTCTGTTTTATAGATCTAATCATTGACCCAGTGGACTTCAAATTTATGTAGTTATTTGGTGGGGGTAAGAGTAGGAAGTAATTCATTGAGACGAAGAGGAAGTGCAAATAAATACCACTCTTGCCTATATTAATTTGTTTTTATGTTGATCTGTTAATTGGTCCATAAATTGCACTGCTTGCTATTATCGATGTCTAACATAGTTTAAGAAAACCTATTGTTGTTCGGAGCTTGTGAGATATGCAATTGAATTATCTGAGAAATTCTGCTACTCTTTTAGATTACTGTATCTAGGATGCCTACTTCATAACTTCGATTTTTGGTTTAGGTAATGTAATTACTGCTGAAATTCACCTGAAAAATGAGAGTTGTGGTGAGAAGTTTTAATTTTTGTTTGCTTTTGGGAAAGAGATGAAAATGAGTTGCCGTTTGTGAATGAGGTTAGAAACATTTGTAGAATTAAAGGGAACACCATGTGTCCACAAGAGGAAAATTTTGTTGCAAAAAACTCTCACTATTGCTTGCACATGTAAGAGAAAACAGCTGGTTCAAGTAGGAGATACTAGTATGTGGCCCTGTACTGTCCCTGATTGTATTTTTTGTGGCTCTTGATTAATTATTCCTTGATCATTTGATAGTAAGATGTATGGCTTACCATACCCCAACCCCCCCCCCCCAAAAAAAAAAAAAAAAAAAACACAAAACACAAAAACACAAAATGTCATGTCGTGTTAAAGGGGAGATTGTGTGCCTAGTTTTTGTGCATGTGAAAGGGTAGTCTTGTGCCAAATTTCTTGCTCTGATCAACTTGATTTCCTTTCTTCAGTGATATATTCATACACTGGTTTGTTTTGGTTTGGAAATTGTACTTTGGAAGATATTTTGCATCTTTTAAAAGCATTAATCAATTAATGCAGATCGTGGGTACTATTCAGTGGAGACGGTCACACTTTTAGTGGCTCTGAAAGTTCGGTATAGAGATAGAATTACAATCCTTCGAGGAAATCATGAGAGTCGGCAAATCACTCAAGTGTAAGACCTTTACTATTTCAAGTTCTAATCCACACTTTGGGGGGGGGGGGGGGGGTCAAAGTTCAAGAAGTTATTTTTCTATCTTGACATGGGTTTCTCATACTGCAGGTTGTTAGAAAAGAAAGTAATGTGAACTTCATAGAAGTTTTAGCAAAATTTCCATACTTCTGTCAAATTTTTTGATCTGATATATTCAAGATTCCCTTATATTCACATGCTATGTGTTTTTCAATTTGCCCATTTCTTTTTCCCCAAACGAGAGCGTGCTCACACAACAGCTATGTGTTCTATTATTCTAAACTTTTGTGGGAGACAACTAATTTAACAGGCTAATTCATTGTAAATTGGGTGCCATGCCTGGCCCTGCATCCTATGCCAGGGCTAGACATGCAACCATGCATACTCATTGTATTTCCCATCTTGAGGTTACTAGTTGGAGTTTAAAGGTTCATTTACTTTTGTAGCGTCTATGAGTTTAAATTTATTATAATGTTCATCTTTACTAGGAAATTGGCTTATATGGTGTAATGAGGAACACTACCTGATGATTCTATTCAGTGGATTCATCTCCTTTGTCTTTTAATGTTGAGGAAACTGAATTATGCACCCCCAAACCAACAATAGAATAGTTGTTTGCTATCCTCTCCTTTCCAGCTACAGTCAAATAATTAGCTGCCAAAAGTTGACATTTTTAAAGTAGACAAATATGGATGAAAGTGCATTGTGTAATATGCTAAAAACTTCAGCCAGGATATTGTGCAAATGTTCTTTACTTGTAGAATGTGGTAGTAGAGTGTTTTTCCATATTTGTAAGATTGGTTCTAATGATGTTGTTGAAACATTTCGTTAAGCAAATTATATAATAACTAGCTAATGCCTGGCCCGTGCCTGGAGGCACTATGCAACGTAACAAAAGTTACACATGAAAAAGAGTGTGGGTGGATGTGTGTGTTCATGAGATATAGCAGCGCCTTGTGTGTATGCACAAATCCACACTCTTAGATGTGCCCAAAAAATTTACACCAGTGCCATAATTTTTTTGGTAAGTCCAAAGTCATAATTAAACCAATATAAATCAGGCTAGATCAAATAAGTTATAAACTTGAAAACAAAAACCATAATAGACCCAAACGGGTCAAATCAAAATCAAAAACGTCAAAAAATTGATAACTTGAAGAACGATAATGGAGAATTTTTTAGAAAAGCTATAATATCTTCATCTCGGTCAATGTTAGTCGATTTGGTCGAGAAAACCCAACCACTTGAACTACAATAATATTTCTTAAAGGAATATATAAAACTATTACACTCACATAATAACACATAACAATAACCCAAAAAAATACCAAGATAACTATTCCTTTTCATGTGGCACTTGGTCAAACTCAGTTATGAGCTCTTCAATGTCTACATTGAATTGTAAGAGATCCATTGCGATTATGAAATTTGGATTAGCACCATCAAAATATGAGGTGGCAGTCAAAGGGCAAGTTGCCCAAGTGTATATTGCATTTCAATTTTAAGTTTCAAGTTTCAGGCTGGGTGATATATGCTTGTTTTCACTAACAAAGTAAATTTGACAAAATATCAATTTCACACCTCGCTGAACATAGAATAGATACAATGAGGACAAACAACACACACTTGGGTTATTGTTGGAGTTGGAGCACCTATGGAACTAGAAGTTCTTGCCGACTGCATATCAACAAGCAACAAAAGTGGGGCTTCAACAGAGAGGATTTTGTGGTTGAAGATTGAGTCCTTGTTATGCTTTGTGATAGAAAGGACTTTCAGGGATTTTCTCAAGGCTCCAAGGGTTGTGGGGTGGGGTTTTATCTGAGAGGGGCTAGGGTGGAGTTGATGGGTTTATGATGGTTGGGAAGAGAGAGAGAGAGATCTAGTTTCCCTAATAAGATATAGATGGAACCTAAAATCTCCATTTTGTTTCCCTCCCACCTTCCTTCCTTCTACTTCTCCTCTCTAACCAATACACTTTTGCTGTCTATTTTATAAGAGGAAAAGTTGGATGGAAGGAGAGGGGGAGGAATGGGTGGATTTTTTCATTTGGTAGAAAGTGAAGGAGAAGGAAGAGAAAACGGATATATAGTCCCTTTGGTCACATTTTTTTTCCTAAAATGGGAGGAAGAAAAAAGAAAGAAGATTGACTGTCACTCCATTCACTGTTTTGCCCTTCAGACAAGTACTATTCCCTTTATATATAACAAATATAGTGGTAAAATCAAGCAATATTTTTTTTTTTATTCTTTCCTTCATAGACAACAAAAGACAGAGGGAAAGAAAGGTATCTTTCCTTTCTCAGGGGCATCTGTAACATTTCCTCTACTTTCTGTTCTTCTAGTTTTTGGCCCTCCTACTAGATGGTCCATTACTCTGACTTGACAGGGTGCTTTTGGTCTAATAAAACTTTCTGTATGAGACAATTGCATAGGAACTAGGCAACACGTGGAAGCGCGAATAACACTAAAATATGAATTGTGCCATGTAGACCACTCATTTGAATATAATGGTTCATTTGATGGACATGATGAACAATACAAGGAAAGGAGAGGTTGGAGGGATCTTGAGGAGAAAAGGAAAGAAAATTGTCTTTTGGTCAAAATTTGAAACAAAGCTAATTGCTAGCGGGACAATGCATGAGGAAAATTCAATTAGAAAGCTTTTTATACATGCCATGTATGGATTACATCAACCATGAGGCGCACACCAGTGTGATGCTGCTCTTATCTCGGATCAAGTGGTTCTTTGTTTCTCCCTCATAGTCAAGGGTGTTGGGTGCAATGATTGAGTGCAATCACTTGACTTGGCTGAGAGACAGGATATAAACCCAAGGAATATATATTGAATTGTAATGCTGAAAATTTTGTTGGCTTAAGCTATAATCGTGATGATGGTCTATTAGAAAGGCGGAAATATGCATCTAGACGGAGTCAATTTTGGAGAGGAGGATTCATGTGGCTGATGCTGGATGGTTGGCTCAAGTGTCCCGAAGTAAATTGGAAAGAGATTATAATTAGTTCATGCAGCTTAGAGCTTTAGCAACTTTGTATTTGTTAGTATCTCTTATTTGTTTATAGCTGTTATTTATATTCCAGTTTTTTCAACCCAGGTATGGTTTTTATGACGAATGCTTGCGGAAGTATGGAAATGCCAATGTCTGGAAGCATTTCACCGACCTTTTTGATTATCTGCCCCTTACAGCACTTATTGAGAGTCAGGTTTGAGTTGTACGCGCATGGATATGTTATTTCTATTAATCTCAGGACAACGGTTAAGTGCTTTATATTGTTGCATTACAGATCTTCTGTTTGCATGGAGGACTTTCACCATCCTTGGATACACTAGACAATATCCGAGCCTTGGACCGTATACAGGAGGTAAATGAGCAATCATATGCCTGAAGTTCATATGCTTTGAGATGTCATGTGTGTCTGTCATAAATCTAAGGCTTTTCTCTGGTTGTTGCCAAAGCCTTTTTATTTCTCTCTCTCTTTGTTTCTTTATTCTGTTTTCGTTTTTCTTTCTCCCTTTCGTAGATAACATACTCCAACATGGGCTGAAAACTTGATTGATATATGGTAAAATCCCAAAAAACTGTGGGATGCCATGCATTGCCTGGAGAACTTTTTTACTTGTAATAGTACATTCTGATACTGCACTAAGAATTTTTGTAACTATCACTTTTTCAGTTCTGCTATTTGCTAGTTGCTTTTTGGATTAACGCATGCATGAAATTTGGGAGGCTCAGTGGCTGTTATTCTTGTTCATGTTAGGAGTGATTACAGATGAGTGAGCTAATGGTGATTTTTATATTTTCTCTCTGGAAATTTTGTATAGTATGTGGAATGTCCTAAGGTGATTTTGTTGAAGCCAGTGTATGACATCTTTGTTTGTGGGTTGGTAGGTTCCACATGAAGGACCTATGTGCGATCTCTTGTGGTCTGATCCAGATGACCGATGTGGGTGGGGAATATCTCCAAGAGGAGCTGGCTATACTTTCGGACAGGATATTGCTACTCAGTTCAACCACACCAATGGGCTAACTCTGATTTCAAGAGCCCACCAGCTTGTCATGGAAGGTTATAATTGGTGTCAGGTTTGTGAACATAGATAGAGTAATCAAAAGATTTTTTTTTTTTTTTTTGTTCACCAATCTGTTTCTTATATTATCTTTTATTCCCATTCATGCATTTTCTAGGAGAAGAATGTGGTGACTGTATTTAGTGCTCCAAATTACTGTTATCGGTGTGGGAACATGGCTGCAATACTAGAAATCGGGGAGAACATGGAGCAGAATTTCCTTCAGTTTGACCCAGCACCTCGGCAGATTGAGCCTGACACCACACGCAAGACTCCTGATTATTTTTTGTGATCTACATACCCCTGCAGGCTGTTTGTAGTCCTCGCTTGCCCTTGTGCACTGTAGATGTGTTTTAAAAGAGGAGTTTCGTTGTTTGAGGATAATAGTCAACATCATTCTTTGTTTGGAGTTTGTGTTGCTGCTGACTTTGATTTTGTGCGCAAAATACTTGCCAAAGAACTGACGGAAGGCACCAAGTCCTTTGTCTTTGTATATTTTTCAGAAAAGGAGGAAGCAGCAAGGCATGGTATATTGTGTTGTGTAATTTCTCATTTCACTGTAGAGAACAGGTTTCAGCATGGATGTCGATTTGTCAGTTTTCCATTTTCCCTGACGAATGGTGACTGAAAATGCGACCAATGATAGAAATTAATAGAGTTGGATTCTCTATCGGAACAAGCTTTGCTGATTCTGTCAAGAGGTGTGACTCGTGTGAGGTAAGTTTTTTGATTGAAGGGAAGAAAGGATGAGGTTTTTAGTTGGCATAAGTAGAACAAAATTAACTTTGAAGTAGTTTTTTTCACTGTCCTGACAATTATGTTGTTGTGCATGGAATGTTTTGGGCCACTGCAATTGTGTTTAGTGATCTGGTTGGTGTGTTGTATGAGATCCATGTAGTATGATCCAAATTCATCCCCCGAGAAATCTTTCATCAATTTTTCCTTAAATATAGATCACCCACTACGTATTAGTACGGGAATCATTTATGTATAACCAAGGGGTTGTACATGTGGACTGGAGACGTTTTTCCTCTCCTTTTACTTGTGGTTTTCCCATTCACCTTTTGAATTGTTGGTGATCAACATTATTCCAAACTTTTTTTTTTTTGTATATTCTAGCTGTGTCAGTTGATCAGCACAGTATTTCTCTGCTTACGTATTGGATTAATGTTAGATTTTGTGTAAAGTCACTTCTCTACCCAAAAGGGTAAATTTATGGGTGGTGGTCCTAAGGGTTTACGTTTTGCGGGATATTCAAACATTTGATGAGAGGTTTATTAGGTGGTTTAGTTATTTCTACGCTAATTTCCTCGGGTATTTCAAACAATTTTCTGAGGTGGTAGTAGCAAGGTTTTTGTTTGTAAATGTAAACTCTAATCGACATAGGCATTGGACCATCCAGCCTCTTTCTACTCTGGCTAACAATAAATGATATCACATGAATGCCATGTAACGAAGCTGTTCATACGTTTGATTCGTTTATTCCGAGTTGCATACACCCCATTCACAATGCCGAAGATACAATGTTGCACAAAGGAAAACAAACTTCAGATCACCCAAGCTATATGAATGGTACTTTCAGCTTCACAATGCTTGTGTGTTGTGCATGTACCCGATGGGATAGAACAAAGTCTATGCTTTCGGGGTGTAAAGTATAATTTGTCCTTAAAATTTTGAAAAAGTCTAGCGCCATCGAACATTGGGTGAGTTTCATTTGAATGACACGTAAGCATCTAGCGTTTCTGAGTGCTCAAATTTGAAGCCAGAAAAAATAACGGAAAGCTAATAGAAGGGTCATATTGTAACATTTTTGATACATTGAAGGTATAATGTGAAAATTTTAATTTTTGAGGGTATAAAGTGTAAAAATCCCAAATTTTAAACTGGCTAGTAATCCAATCAAGTCTTTGGTACTTCTCAATTTTGTCTACTTCAAGTTCCCGAATTGAATAAATTTTGGGGAGAGACAGCTTTACAAAAATTTCTAGTGAGTGTGTGTGTGTGTGTGAGAGAGAGAGAGAGGGGGGGGGGTTCTTCTGATTAGAAATTGTTCAAAAAGATTGCTCTTAGATTGGACAAAGGAGGTAACTAGCTAGTGGGGAGAGCAAAAATCAAAGAAAGAGAAAGGCACCACTCCAGTAGAATCTTGTCCAAAGCCTGTGTTATCAACTGGCATGTTTCATAAAGTAGAATGCAATCTAATTTCCGAATCATGCAATTGTTTTTCAACAAAGACAGTTCAAGAGGCTGAAAAGTCAGAATCAGTAGTCTCCTTTTTCTTCTGAATATTCACTCATAAAAGAGTGGCATAAAGTTGAAACAGAAACCCACCTCTTCATCATCATCAAATGTTTTACAACAGTTTTCACATGATTGCCCCAAGCCCTTAATAATAGCACTACAGTAATCCAAAAAAATTTATGTAACTTGACTTTTATAAGTAATAACTTCTATGATCAATCATAACATCTTTGTGATCAATCATGTTCTTTGCCGTTATAGTTTACAACCTAAAAAATTATAACTTGATTTTCAAAAATTATAACTATTAGTATGTGAGTGTTGATGTCTTGATGATATTAAGTACCCGTCAAATAGTTTGTGTGCTGAGACCCCCATTATTAAAGATTTTGACAATAATCAGATTTATTAGTCTTACCTTGCATAAAAATAGGTTATTTCTTCATTTTAAAATTGTGACGTGTAGATTTTAATGAAGCAATCTTACCATTGCGCCATATGAAATACAAGAAATTCCTACTATCTGTTTTTTCTTCAACTTTGGCACCTCATACCATTTACAGATAGTTTTGAAAGAAAGATTCCTCTCATCCCTCCCTTTTGACAATTTTGCCTCTGCAAAACAAAAGAGGGCTTACTTTGTGGAATAATGTAGAGACAATTTGCATTGTTATGTTGTAATCAAAGCCTTTAGCCTTCCACCTCTCAAGAACCCCACAGAACAATTTGACTACTCCAAAATCCCTTTTCAAAGCATGGTTCAAAAGGCTCACCCAATGCACAAGACTCCCTTCATTACGGGGTTTGAGGAGGGTTAAATGGTTCACAATCCATATCCACCGATAAATTGTTGTACTTTCAGAGTTTCTATGCTCTCAGCTCCTTTAAGTTGTTATCAGAATTAGCTCTTAACTCTTGAAGCTAGCTAGTTAGTTGCCATGACCCGTAAGGCCAGGAACAGAAAGAAATCTTTGTGTGAGAAATCCATGCAGGTGGTGGTTAACATCATCAAACTATCATCTTTTTATGTTGCAGGTTTGAATCTGGGATCAAATGGTGGAGTGCCTGAGGGAAACATCGCGGTTCTAAACGCTCCAGTCCAACCCTCAAACGCTTTGCCATCGTCTCAACAGAGTATAAGCCAGAGGTTACAAGAGCCAGAGCTCGGGTCCAAATCTTTCACCTACTTGACAGGATCAGATGAAGGAGAGAGATCTTCCTACATGGTCTGTGGAACTAACAATAATGATAGCAGGTTTTCTGATTATATCAAGAGGTTTCATGACGGGAACATGAATGAATTGAACACTGCAAGTACAAATGGAAAGGTTTCTGAATATATCAGAAGGTTTCATGAGAAGAACCCGTATGATTCAATGAAAGGATCCAAAGGATTGCCATTCATTTTGCCACCCCCACCTCCTCAAGCCAAGTAGTATGGTGATGCTTTGTTCTTGTATAATATGGTCATGAAAGAGGCTCAAAGTTTCAAATTATAGTGTTGTCTTCGACATAAACTACCAAGTATTGGCATATATAGATGACAGAAACTACATCTTTGTTTAGAGTCAGCAAGAAACTCTGTTTTGTTGGGTTCGATGGGGGGTGTTGGGTCAACTTATACGCATCTCGACTAAACCCTTCTCCGGTACGTAAGGACCAAGAAGATATTCATGATGAATAAATTCCTCGTGACCTGACTTAAGGAGTTGGCAAGATTAAAGAAACTTTTGAGAGAAGTGGTTTGAGTACATAGGCTTGTAATGTGCTGTAGTATCATGAAGTTTAAATTAAATTTGTATTCAAGCTTGAAGTTTTTGAATGTAAAATTGAAGCAAGAAGGAATGAAGAAAATGTTTTCTGAGCATGGGTGGGAGTCTCATAGATTAGACCATCTTTTTTTATTTTGCTGGTAAATTTTTGTTTCATACAATGATAGTCTTGGGTTTCAATAAATAGTTAGTTGTGCCTTCGACTGGAGAATAAGAGCAACTTCAATAGTGCTTTTTATTTTAAAGAATGTTTTTTTTTTAAATAGAGTGAAATTTTTTTAACAACTCCAATAAGACTCTATTTTATTATTAGAAAAAACCAATATGGGGAATAACATTTAATGCAACATGCACATGTGTCATTTTTTCATTAATTAATTATAAAGTATAGAGTAAGGTTGATGCTCCAAATACAGAGAATCAAATTGAATACTCTATTTTAGCAAGTTGAAATAGAGAACCTATGGGAGATGAAAGCCTGACTTTAGGTCTTGCTGCCCAGTTCCCTAGGCTTAAATACTTTTAAAAAAATTAAAATAGCATGTTAAAATTAAAATTCTTTTTTAAAAAATACTGTCGAGACGAAGGAATGTGTTAGGTAATTGTAAGCTAATCTAAAAATCAATAGACTAAATATACGCATAAAAAATCTCAAATACGAATTATTTGAAATTAATATAATTAACACGTTTAATTAGTATTACACGAATAAAATATTATATTTTAATTATTTTTTTATTAAGTACAGACATAATCCTTGTACGGTAAGATGATTTTTTTTGCCTTTTTTATTATTATATGTGTTAAATTAATTTCTAATTTAGAAAAAAACTATTTGTGTAAGTTCGATTAAGTATAATAGAATTTTAGATTTATATTTTAATATTAATTTTTTTAAGAATTATATCAATCATCACAAACACGATATAAAAACAAATAATAAGTGTGAAAGTTGATAAAATAGCAATGATAACAATACTATTGAGAGTTGATGCACTCATCATTTTATTAGTAATAAGGTCTAAATACTAGAGGGGTCCACTACAAGTGATACATAGATTAGTTTTTGTATCGAAAATTTACCCTAAAAAATCTATTTTTTAGGTGTCGGATCTTATTTTTTTTATCCAATCACAAGATTTTGTTCCAATCCAATCACAAGATGACATTTATAAATTCTCTATGATTTTTGTTCACCTTATTTTTTTATTTTAATAATTACTGATTACAAATAACTCAAATCAATATGCATAATCATTTTTCTGCATGACATCAATAAAAGGGAAATTACCAAACATAGGGTTGAAAACCAGGACAACTTTAAAAAGAGTAATGCTATGTTATAGGACCTAATTTGAGGACTAATTCAGAGATTTAATTCAGTGCAACCGTTAGATTAATTACAAGTTTTAATATTAGATAAAACTCATCGATCTAATGATTGCATTAAATTAAATTCCTATATAAGGAGTAAATATTTAGTGTCGCGATTACACCACGTCGACATTGTCACGTGGTGTAAACCTTTAATACTAAATAAATAAGTGAACAAAGGTGACTCGATTCTTTTACATTAGGTGATTACTATCTTACATGAAGGGGTAATTATTTGAATGAGTGAGGTCCACTTTTTTTATTTGTTGAGTTATTATTGGAGTGTGACAATACGAGACAATACTAACGTGGTTTAATCATTACAATAAATATTTTCTCTTATATTATTAGAAAACATTTAATGCAACGTGAGTATTTTTACATAGTATCACTACTAATAATGTGTAAACAAATAAAAAAAATAGACTCCACACAAACCAATAACTATTCATTTATATAAATCAATAACTATATGTTCTTCTTTCACGTAAATCGATAACTATCAAGTGTAATTCATCTTATTTATTTAATATTTTATTATTAATTAATAATACTATGTGACAATAACAACATAAAATCATCGTTACATTATGTCTCAAATTAGGTTTAAATAGTATTTTTCCTTTTGAAATATATGTTGTAGTGATTAATATATAAAGGCAACCAACCAAGTAGAAAGCTCAATCTATCTCCACTAGCCACAAAATCTATTGACCATATAACAAAGATCAGCATAATGGAAATCTCATAAATAGCATATCCAACTTGAGATATTGTTTTTTTCAACTTGAAGGGTACTAGAAACAACCAAAAGGAGACCAAATAACAGAGAGTAGTCTGTTGTACCTGGTGCTGTTTGCACCACAATAATACAAAACGAACCAAAACGTAAAATAAACAGAAAATCCCCACTCACATGATCATGGCACCCATCTCTCATAAAATCTCTCTAACCTGTACAACAAGGAATCATCTGATCACCAAATCTTAACGTCTAATCCAACCCAACTAATCCCACTTTTTTTAGTCGTTTACCCTTTACAACACACAAACCCATTAAGCAACTCTGATGATGCTATCTCCATTACTACTACTGCTGTTAAAGCTGCCTGACATGGCTTGAAAAGCTGAACCATGTTTCGCCGGCGGTGACTGCTGGTCGGATGGCGATGATGGTGTTGTGGAGAGATTTAGAGATAAAGGAAGAGGGTCTGTGGTGGGTGTGTGTGTCTGGTTTAAACTGAGATCTGCCATTTTTGAAGATGGAGGGACAGGAAGAATAGGGATAGGCCTGATGGGGTTGGGTGATTTCTTTACCTGATTGCTTTGTCCTAGTGTGAGGCTCTCCATTGAGTTCTCGCCTGTAACCCGGCAACACTGTCGCAGAGAGGGTCTCCGGAAAAGTTGACACACGAAATCCTTCAACTTGGATGTTGTTGCTTAGATGCGGCGGCTGCAGTGGTGGTTGCGAGATGGTTTCTTGGTGAACTTGATCTTCCAGAACTGAACTCAGAAACTGTAGATTGCAGAGAAAAAAAGAACAAGATGAAAATTTATATCACTAAAGAAAAAAAAGTTTTGTTAAAGGGTGTCCCGATTTGTCCAGACTCCAGAATATCCCTAGAACTCAACAGATAATTACTATAATTTGAGCTGAATTAGAATATGTCCCGGATGGTGTTTAGATGAGTTTTATAGGTATTAATTACCATATCGGTGGTGATGTCAAACAGACTAGATCTCCGGCGCCGTCTATTGTGGTTGTTCCGGCGGAGAAAGTACTTTTGAGCATGACTTGCCACCTGGGTCGGCGTTCTTGTTTTCACAAAGGTCCTTGAAATCCCTCTCCAATCTCCTTTCCCTACCTTCTGCAACCCCAACAAGAACAGCTTATGCTCCTCCTCCGTCCATGGCACTCCTACGAAACCCATCAAACAAATCAACTAGTTAAAACTCCACATATTTCAAGCTCTCTCTCTCTCTCTCTCTCCAAACATATACACATACACACGCACATTATGTGGGTATCAATCGATCTATAAGTACCTCTCTTGCGTTCAGGGCATCTAGCAGAGGTGTGAACGACGTCGTCGGAAGCATAGCCAGCGGCGACATCGACGTTGGAATCCTGAGGCTGTTCATGATCGTACTGAGAGATTGGTCATACTATAGCGCTCTTCCTGAATGAACCCTCCATCTCCATGACTCTAACACCGAAGAGCATAAACCCTTTACCAGTGGTGGCGGAGGCAGCGCCGCCACTAGCCTCCGGGCATGCGTGTGAGTATTGGCCATCTTTTCCCACACGTGGGAGACATTGCCGCCTTAGTAGTCGTGGTTGTCACAGTTGAAGAAAATTAGTGAAAGGTGGACAACGCCCACATAACAAACGAGAGAGTAGAGAAAAGAATTGTCTTTTGCAAGTGGAAAACAACAAACAAACAAATAGTATACACACCCAAAGGATAATCTAAGCGTGGAAAATTGTAAATTCAGATCCCTT